GTAGACATTGGTACCTTACTAAGAAAAGGCACCAGGTCTCTAGTTTTATGCGTCCTGTTGGTTTTAGTCAGTAAAGAGTGTCGGTAAAAAAATATTAATGGGTTCTAATGCATCTGAAATTGCAAGTCCACTCATAAATTGAGGTTAAAGCAGATCCAATGCGTTTTTGGATCAGATCTAGGCATTTGTCTTCAAATACGTTACATGCAAAGTATGCATTTGATATCCAACCGTTTAGATTTGTCATAATGTTGATTTTGGAGCCACCTCTAGGATAAATCACTTCTAGTCTCAGATTCACAGAAAGAGCCTTTTAAAATGGTATACCAGAGAAGAAATAGCTCCTTTTGTCTCTACTGGTGGTATAAAAGCTACAATAACCACAGGCAGCAGCACAGCACAGTGTTGCCAGCACTATTCCTTTGGTTTTACTTGTTGATTATTTGTATTTGAAAGCAGCATCATGTGTTGATGGACATGGACGTGGATAGGCTAGTACCCGAGTTTCAAGGTGACATGAAATACTGAGCTTTAATACATGAATGGTACTTAAAAATAGCAGAGTTTCACTGAAAGAGGAAATACACTGATTTTTATTTAGCTGAAAAGATCTCTTGCTTCCTCTGCACAAGTCTTTGTAGCTGCTGGGCTGGACAAAGTTAATATTCTTCATTTGGAAACACCAATTAATAATGTATTATTCATATATTAGTGTTAACTTGTGGGAATTAATTTGCATTCCACAGTATGAAGCGTTAAGGCCTTAATTTACGTAGCTAACTTTAAAATAAGAAAAACTCGGTCATGGTTTGTTCAGTGACTTGCTTGCAACTGAATTTTATCATCTGTATGTGGAAGCATCTACCTCTTCAGATGAAAATGTAGGTGTTTTCTTGTTCTTGCATTAGCGTAAAGGGGAAAAACAGCTGCCTTTCAGAGTATGTCTTAATTTGGCATGCGTGTGTTCGGCTGGAAACAACAGATGCAACAATAATTTTTTGTTGTACGTGTGTGTACTCTCAATTCATCATGAGAGTTAGTTTTCTTTGATCCTTTTGCTGTCACTATTTTGCTGCCTGTCTACAGCAGCTTCACTTTAAGTGAAAGGAACTGGATGAATATCAAGCAGGTTTCCTCTGGATGTTCTATTTCTTTCCATATTCTGTGTATTCAGAGTATGTCATGATATTTATTAGTACTTGCGTTAGAGAAAATAGCTACGTTCCTGCCAGGATTGGAGTACGTGGGTTGCACAAGTGTAAAGAGTTTTTCACAGAACCAGTCTTGCTTTTCTTCTGTCTGCTGCTTTTCCTCTGTCTCCTGGTTGCTTTGTCATTTGCCCGTTTACTGTGCTGGTAGAGTCTGGAAGTTCATGAAGTTTCTTTGAAGCGTATCCTTGTCTGAGCTGGGAAAACATGCCTGCGAATGCAAGCGTGTGCCCAGATCAGTATCTGGAAGGCGTAAATAAGGTCACCTTTGTCTGGAAATCTCGTGGGCCTGTGTTGAGTGTCTGGTGACTCCCTGTTGTTGCAGTCTCCTCTTTGTCAGTCCCTACGATGAAGAGTAGGTCACTACTGACCACCATATACACTAACGTAGCTTGCTATCATGCAAATGAAAGCTGGGGGTTTGACAAGAAAAGGGTCCTGCTGCCCTAAGTTGGGAACCTTTGCACCTCTTTCCTAGTGTGGTGGTTTTTTAAATGTAGTAACCTTCTACCCACGTTGTGAAGTTATGTTTGTTCTGAAATCTATAGGGTTTTTTTTCTGGGTCAGACTTGACCACATCAGTTTCTCTAGTGGGCCTGCGTAGCATGCCAGAAAGAAGAGTACAGGAGTGAAGCTTAAGGGCGTATCTGATATGCTGATTCAGAGACAGGATAGAGTACCTACTTCTCTCTTCTCTGTCTCCTGTTTTAGTAGGTCAGATTGTCAGTGCACCTGCAGCCATTTCAATGGCTGAGTCTGCGAACTCTTCTGTCCTCCTATAGCGTCACCTGGCCAGCCCGCTTCCATTTGAGTCTTGAGGTCTAGCTTATTGCCCTAGTTTCCTCTCCTCTTGGTACTGATTTAGAGCAGGCCAGTGATACAGTCATGTGCTGTTTAGGGAGAGGGGATAGTGGAGGGATATCTTGCAGTTCGCATTTCAGTTGCCAGTTTTATTTGCCGATTTCAAGTGCAAATGTCTCCTCAAGAAAACCTTGCTGTAATCTGGAAAAGGAACAGCTGATGCATATTTTCCTGTTCCTGAACCTACAAAGCACGTACTATTTCCTTTATGTATAAATACAGAATTCTTAGAAAGCAGCATAAAAAGGAATTAGTAATAAAGAGTTGTCTGTTCCCCATTACAGCAGAGTATAGTCTTTTCATCTGTTCATTTCATCAAAAATACATTGGCATTGTAAAACGAACAAAACCACGTTTCACTGCAGTACTGCCAGTTGCAAGCCAGCCTTTTTAACAAATACTCTCTCAGCTTATCAAAGTAATTGGAAATTGCTCCTTGGAGGCTGCTGAAGCCATAACAAGAGCAGGCAGTAATGACTGACTATAATCAGAAGGCTGCCAAACCACACAGAAAAGAACTTCACTGTAGACTCGCTGGCTGTTGCCAGCTTGTTCTTGTTTTGCTTACACTGAGACTTGATACATGACCAATAACTGGTTATTAAATAGCTGGCAGTGCAGTAGCGATTATGTTAGTCTACTGTACGAACATATTCCCCTCGTAAGTGTCTGGTGGACTTCAGAGGACACAAGATCCATGTTAAATGCCACCCAAGTGAAGTAAAGTTGTGTTGGTCATTCATAAAAGAGAAGATCTAGATGTGAGCTGTGGTGAGAAAAGGAAGTAGTGATCATCTCTAAAAGTCAAATAACGATGACAGTTCCCCCGAAGTGCGCTCCCTGTTCTGCACAGGGATGTCCACCTAGCGTGCCTTCTGCTTGCCTGTTGGATCTTCTTGGACTTCACCAGAGTCTGGTTCCCTTTTCTTCCTTGCTGGCGATGGGTGTTGGTAGCTTTGTGCCCTTCCTGCAGCTAGGAAAAGGCCACTTAAACCTCCCCTTGCCACAGCTTCCTAAGCACTCTTGCAAGCCTTGGGAAGCAGATGTTTTTGGAAACCACCTGGAAGACTCTGATCTCTGTATTCTCCTCTTGCCAGGTGTATTTTGGGATGTCTTACTGCGCAGCATTGCTACTTGCATCTCCTTTTAAGTACCTGAATGTGTAATGAATAGAAGTATAAGATAAGGTTATTTTAATGTAATGTTTTGGAAAATGTATTTATAGCTTTTGCTTCTTACTCTGAGGATTAATGTTTAGATCTTTTTGAAAAAATAGATTTAGGATTTTCATTTTAATTACAATTTGTGAAGAGAATGCAAGGTGAGATATAATTACCTGGATTTCACCAGACAAGTTGAGCAGCAGTACTTCTTGTTGATGCTGAAGGGGTTGGGTTTTTTCCAAAGGCAAGCTTCCTATTAGCCTTTTTTCCTTTTGTGATCTAGGATGTCTTATCCTTTCAGAACTCTCCTGGTTTGTACTCTGCAAAAGTTGGAACGTGGCAGCAATGTAGTAAAAATGTGTGAAGGCCTCAGGCTGTACCAGCTTATGCTTCTTACCTGTAATGTGCGTTACATCTGTATCTAAATGAGTTGACAATGCGGGCAAAAAGAAACAAAGTTAATTACTGTGTAGAATGTGGATTTTTAATAAGGAGCGAATACTCAGTGTGCTTCCTTCCGTTTAACAAAAAATAGCCAAATCTGTCCCAGAACTTGGGTTGAAAATAAGTATTACTGATTGTACGTAATGAAATGTTCTGATTGCCTGAAAGAGCACCCACCACAAAATACAAGTATTTATAGTACGAAGTTTGATTAGCTGCTGTGGTACCATATTGTGTGTGTGATCTTTCAGGTTCCAAACCAAGCAGTGATAAAAATACACGTACATTTGTCACCACTGTAATAGAGCTGCCACCAGTTACCTTAATGTGACCTTGTCTTTACTGTCAGTAATGCATAATATCGGTCTGTGATTAAATTATTCAGCAATTCTGTAGTTAGAAGTTTTATCCTGGTTTTCCTGTCAGTAGATATAAGGATCTGAGGTTCAGATGATGAGAGAACCTCCCTCATCTGATGATTAGAAAAGCCAAGTATTCAATAAGCCTCAAGCAGCCGAATGCTTCTGCAGACCCCTTGTAAGCCAAAAGACTGAACTCTGTGTGAGCACAAGCCTGCTGGAAATATTAACTTTGCTCTTAATAACTGTTTGTGAGGTTGGGTGTCGTGACTGAAGGCTGCTCGAGGTCCTGTCCTTGTCTTGCTTCCTCTTTTCTTTCCCCTGTGGTCCACTTTGTTGCCTCTCCTCCAGTACCTCCACGTTCTTCAAAAAGCAAAACTCCTCAAAAGCCCTCACCCCAAGCTCCAGTTTTAAGTCTTTTCTTTGTTTGTTTTGTTTAGGTATTCCAGTCTCTCAACAGCACTTAATTTGGAATAATACAGAACTGAAGGATAACTATTGTTTAAATGATTATAAGTAAGTATAGAATAAGGTTGCAATTACTGTTTCTAAATAATTGTTAGTATGAGCAATAGCTAATGCTACAAAAAATAATGTGTTGTTATTTACAGCATTTCAGAAGGTTGCACTCTGAAATTAGTTCTGGCTATGCGAGGTGGACCTATTAACACCAGAAGAGGTAGGTGTTAACTCAGTTTAAAATAGTGGTTTTCATACAGAATCTTGTAACTCTTCCATCATTTTCATTTTGTTTACTCTTAGTTTAATAATTCCTTTGCATGTATGAAATCATCAAGTCTTAAAATCAGCCATTCTTCACCTGCAGGAAAAAACGATACTGTAATGTCATTATACAGCTAGTTTTTAAAATCTGGTTAGTACAAATCAGGCGCTGGTTCAGTCTGATGATAAACTAGGCTATGTGGCTTGTCCGTAGAGAAATGAAAATGGAGAAATCCCCTTGATAATTTTCACTTGGAAAAAACTCGGTATATGTTTCAAGTTGGGAATTCCTATTGTAAACTGAGCTGAGCTCTTCAAAGGTGATCAAAACAAAAATAATAATAACAGCATTTTGCTTCTATTCTGTGTTTTCTCTTCGTAGTTCCTGTGGAAGACCCTATTAGGGAGATGGCTGAATACATGGATCCCACTAGAGATGAGATCTGGGAAAAAGGACCATCCAATAAACAAGTTACCTTTCTAGTCTATCGAGAAGGAGATCAGTTGAATTTCTTCCGCGTGGTAGACCGGGGAGATGGCACTTTAACGCCTTTATCTGAATCTTTGAGGTAAAGCTGGTTTTAATCTCTACATTATTCTGCAAAAGGGGGATGCTGTATAATTTTCAGCTTCATTTGTTGACTCGATCAAAAGAATATCTGGAGTATTGCAAGAAATGTGCCCTGAGAGCTGCTAAAATGCTGTAACTGAGTGGCCTAACAGCACAGTATTACTTTGTGCTCAGAGATCATGCTGATGGTCGTCTTCTGTCCCTGAGTGAGATAAAACTAGACTTGTGCTCAAGGCAATTCTCAACATTCCAGCTCTTTCTAAAAGGGAACATTTAACAGGAGAGTCAATGTCACAATAAAGATATTGAAACCTTATTTGTTTAGTTCTATAACCATTTCTCTGTTCACAGCATAGACTTTCTTTTTTGCACGAATATGACTTGACCGAATGATTAGTCAGGAAGAAAGTAGATTGGCAGTGCAAAATCCTGAGACTGAGTGAAGTTTCAGAGAACTGAGGGTGTTTTGGGCAGTTCTTTTGGGTTTTTTTTCTTTTTGTTTGTTTGTTTCAGTTTGGGGGTGTTTGGGTTTGGAGGGGGAGTGAGGGAGGCTGGTTGAGAGGTTTTTTGTTAGGGGTTTTTGTTTTGTTTTAAATAGACTGAAATAAGTACCAGTAGGGCTATCCTTTGGACATAATCAGACCTCAGATTAGCTATTGTTGAGGTATCAAACTTGTCTCAATCACCTGTCACACAATCAAAGTACTGTTATCATCAGAAAAGCAAGTATGTCACTTAAGCTACTACATTGTAGCAAACAGATTAGTAGTCCCTTTCCTGAAGCTATCAAAATTGATAATATCTTGTAATTAAAAATTATTAGTCTTTTTACTGCAGCTTTTGGATAGGTGTTTTATCCCCTGAAGAACTTCATGTTTGTACAGCTGTGAGGAAAGGAGTCCCTATTGTGGGGACTAGCTGCGTTTTCCTGAAGGCGAAGGCTTGCTCTGTTTTAAGCCTAACTATTCTCGTTCCTGTTTGCAAAATGAAAGCAAGAGTTTTGTACTGGGTTTATATTCAGTGTGATTCACAGTGTATATATTCAGTATGATATTACTCTTATAAACTTTTATAAGAGATTTGTACTTAAAAACTACAGTCTGAGTGAAATATCGAGGTTGAATTCCCACATGATTACACAGAGTAGAAGGAGCTAGTGTTTGATGTACAGTTACTGGAGGAAAAGATGATAAAATATACAAATATTTTAGATGTGTAATCTTATCTTTCAGTCCCTGTACTCGTTTTCAGTGAATCAAGAATCTGCATGCAGATTTGAAATAAGTAAAAACCACCATCATGAGTAAGAACTGCGAACCTTGGTGCTGCATTGGGCTAGGTGCACTCCTGGAAAGAGGAGCAGACATGAGTAATTCCTGTTCTCACTGTTACTCTGCCTATTACCAAATCGTTCCTTTTAATCTTTTATCTCCAAAGAACATCCAAACCAATCTAAAGTTCTAGGACTGTGGGTGCTACACTGTAAGTTGATGCAAGAAGTTGTCAGAAGGAGCTTGAACTTCCATTTTTCAGTATGATGAGCTCCTTGGTATCTGCCTGTGGGTTCAAATTCTTGTGTGTGTACTGTTGTTTTATTTCCATTTAAAACTAGCATGGGCAATTGTCTGAAACTCCTAGTACTTTTCAACTAGGTGTATAGATTAAGTAGTAATTTACTTAAAATAGGCTAAACATAGCAAACTGGAGGAATAAACCACTCTCTTTTGGCTCTTGCAAGGCATCTTGATAACCCTTTCAAAACGTAATAGCACGTATAAAAGTCAAATACATTATGCTTATGAAATGTGCTGTCACTGGTCAAATGATCCAGTTAGGTTGGAAACCACCCGAGTTGAAAACACTCAGCTTGAGTTGTTTCTTTTCCTCTGTGCTTTCTATGGGAGTTCATTTGTTAGCTTTTCTAAGGCAGGCAGTCATTTGGGGGGCACGGTGGGAGAGAAATGGAGAGATTCTGATTTTTTAAATTTATTATGGCCATGTCAAATTTTTGTGGGAAATGGAAGAAGCAGCAAAGGGAGGAGAGGATGGAAATAAATCAGACATTTTCATTTGATCTTTGTAGAGGAAGGCTGCAAACCACTCTGAACACCAGTATTTGTCACACAGACAGATAGGTGTGTTCATACGTGTGGGTGCGTTGGTGACTGAGCATTTTGAGGCACTTGTTTATCAGTTTCTTCTCACAGTGCTTATGTGTGGATCAGAAGTTAGTGACACTAATTTAGAACTGAGACATTGGTTTGGGTTTTGTTTTATATTTCTCGAGATTGTTTTATTTGATCTCCCTTATGCGGAAAGGCTGAGGGAGCTGGGTCTCTTTAGTTTGCAGAAGAGGAGACTGAGGGGAGACCTCATTCATGTTTATAAATATTGAAAGGGTGAGTGTCACGAGGATGGAGCCAGGCTCTTCTCGGTGACAAACAATGATAGGACAAGGGGTAACGGACACAAACTGGAACACAGGAGGTTCCACTTAAATTTGAGAAGAAACTTCTTCTCAGTGAGGGTGACAGAGCATGGCCCAGGCTGCCCAGAGAGGTTGTGGAGTCTCCTTCTCTGCAGACATTCAAAACCCGCCTGGACGCCTTCCTGTGTAACCTCATCTGGGTGTTCCTGCTCCGGCAGGGGGATTGGACTGGATGAGCTTTGGAGGTCCCTTCCAATCCCTAACGTTCTGTGTGTGATCTGTGGTTTAGTTAACAGTTAAAACTGGACAAGTTGTAAATACATTCCATGATTATTGTCTCTGGGTTGAAGGAAGATTGTTGAAGTTTTGGTAGAGGACTGGCAGGCACTAGTGTCAGAATAGTTCCAGCAAGCTACTGATCACTTTTTAGGCATGTGTTTTATAAGTAAGATCTCGGGAATGTTGACACCTATGGACAAAGTCCATTTGAAATTTACTCATTGGAAAATGGGCTGGAAGTATCATCAGGAGCAAAGCTCCCTGTCCAACTTTTTTGCTTTAATGTCATTGTAAAATTATTAAAAAATCCTTTTGTTACTTTAGTCTTTTAGGCTCCTATTTAGTGAAAAAAATGCAAGAAAAAGGGTAACAGTTCTGTTTGCATTAAAAACCAGACAAACAAACACCACCACCCCACCTCCCAAAACCAAATCAAACATATGCAACATGCCACTTTTCTTTCTATCCTTACCTTGAAGGAAGGGGAGTTCAATGAATTGGTTTGAGTGGGTGACTTAAGTCTTTGCAGAGTTAAAATTGTGAAACGACTCCTTAGTTTGAATCTTTCGCAGGGTAGGTGTGTAATACGCGTGCTGACTGTCCCCATATGGGGCTGTGCAGTTTTTGGCAAGAAATGACTGGACTGTTTGGCTGACTCTTGCTTTGAATTTGCTGCAGTCTTGCTCCTTAAGATCTCTCTCTCAGCTGTGCTGCCTTTGGAATTTTGTTACAGTTTAGGAAATGGATTTGGAGAGTGAGTGCAAAAATACTGGCTCTTGACTAAGGGCAGCAGAGTATTTCCAAGCGTCCGGTAAGATGGCAGCTCTAATTAGTGAAACTTTGTTTGTTTGTTTTTTGGGTACTGACTTTTTCATGACCTTTAGTTCTTCCTTGGTCTCTTTTGGAGAGTAGAAACTTCAGTCAAGCCTGCTAAGACTTTGTATGAACACAGGGGAATTGCCCAGTTGTTGTGATTTCTAGATGCTGACAGCCTAATGGAAGAATTAAAATGTTCTTGAAAATGGGCTATATACAGTGTTGAAAATGCATCAGTTTGTAATGACTTGGACACTCCTAATGGTTCTTTCATTTCACTGTCAAATGCTGGATGTGTTTTAGTGACTTCATTGCTTCATAGGAAAAACAAGTCAGATACTGACTTTAAAACACTGAGTTTTTGCATTATGCTGGAATACAGAATGGAAAAAGGCAAGGTGATGCTATAAATTTCCAGTGACTACTGAGTTAAAATACTTTGTCTTGGGTCTAGCAATTCTAATCTGTGGGGGTTTTGTTTTGGTTTTTGTTTTTGTTTTCAAATGTGAGACTCTTTGGAAACCTAAACTGATCCTTTTTTTATTTGTTTTTTTTGTTTTTATTTTTTATTTTGAAAAGGAGAAATAGAATATCACATCCACATGGGTGACCCCTCCATTTCCATTTATGGTGAGAACACCCCTCAGGATGGATAGAAATTTGGACTGTCCTTCCATGCCAGTGTCTGGTTAATTGGAAAACTGATCAGCTTGTTGTCTGAGTCACACACAGTTTACAGCTTTGGCCTTACCTTCAGGAGACATTTGTGGAACTGGATATCCCCTCTGTGGGGAAAATATATAGTGAGTGTGAACCAACTGTATATGGTATAACAGCTTCCCAGAAGCATCATCACTGATGTGAGCATCTTAAAAGGAATGCTTATGTGCTAAAATAAATGGATTAGAAATGTCTTTGCCTACAGTTTTACATAACGCTTTGTCAACAGATCAACTGCGGATATGACTTTCTAGTAGTGAGAATACTCTGCATTGAAAACGTGATTAAATTACTTGATTAGAGGATGAACACAAACTCTCTTTTATTTTCAGCGGTGGTTCAGTTTATAATTTATACGCTGATGATGAAGATGAGACAGAGGCGTCACCTTCTGGCCAGCAGATTATTGAGAATTCAATTACTATGAATAAAATGAAACTGCTCAAGGCAAAGATGGAGAACATGAATCTGAGTAAAAAGGTGAAGCTGTGATTTCAGTTTTTCTGTCACAAAATGGTTTGCACTTTCCTAGTGCTGGCTTTTCTAAAAAGCAGGTCAGATACTTTTCTCTCTTGGGAGGTGAAGTGATTAAGGATAGATGATTTTTGATCTCTTGTTGAAGTAAATGCTATGGTGTAAATGTTCTACTGTGAGGCATTGTCTCTACTTGGATTTACTTGTCCACATTCAAAGAATTCACTACTGGTTCTGGATTTACTTGTGTGGGTGGTTTTTTTTTTTTGTTGTGTTGGGGGGTTTTTGTTTCTTTTCTTTGCTTGTTTTTCCTTCCAGTACTTTAAGTAGCGTTGTTTTGCAGTACTGCTCTGGTAAAAACAAAGCTTCATTAAAAATTCTGTAACTGAAAAGCCGATGAAGTTAAATATGAGAATGAAGTTACCTGGAAGATGTGAACATCGACACAATGTTTTGTCTTTCTAGATTACCTAGATGTAAAATAAAGATACTTTTACTTTTTTTCTTTGCTCATCTTGTTTGAGACCCTAAGCTCGTCTGGATGACTTTGGCATTCTGGCTTCCCTTTTCTATTTCTCTGACATGTGGTGTATTTACTACAAAGGCTTTTCTGATTATAATCTTTGATTTTATTATTCAGATGTTGGTATGAATTCTTGATGGCTCATAACAGATAAGGGAGTAGAAAGAATGATTTTGTTCTTTCTGGCCTTACGCACTCTGAATTCCTGGGAATAGGATCTCGGTCAGGTCTTGGAATGCAACCATAATTGTTGTTTAATGTGGTTTTTGGTTTTTATAATAGCCTAAGAAAACGGTCAAGGTGAAACCTCGTCCTCCAATGGCTCCTCGACCGTCTAGTGGCTCAGTGACTGCTGCTCGTCACCGTTTTTTAAGAGTGCTCCCTCATATCGGCCAGTCCTGCCTACCTCCTCCTGGGAATTTGTATCCCTCAGAGTCTTCCCAAAACGCACTTTCAGCATTAGCTACTTTGGCCACTGCTGGTAGAACGATGCCATCCACAACTAACGACTTTCTTAAGGAAGATGACACTTGGCAGAGCAACTCTTGGTCTCAGTCGGTTAGCAGCATCAGGTTACCACCAAAAATATCTCGTGTTGAACTAGAAAATGCAAAACTACCTGCAAATAGTGTTTTAACTCCTGTTCCATCTCTGCCTGCAAATTCAGAAAAAGCATCTGAAAACGTGACCTCAGCAAGTGAGGAGGATGCTGTTTTGTTTCCGAATCTGACAAATGTAGAACTGTATGGAACAGAAGAAAAGCCTTTACCTGAAACAGATACTTTTGCCTTGTTAACAGAAGCAAGCACCAGCGAACAGTGTAGTGAGGTGTATGACATAGGAAAGGTGAATCCAGAACTTGAACTGTCCGATGGAGATGAAGAATCGAAGGTTGTAGAGCAGCATAGGAAACCTGTTAGCAAAGTGCTGAGCACTGCAGCAATGGGAGCAGGTCTTCTCAGTACTCGTGAATTAAGTCCTCAGAAAAATCTGCATTTGTCACCTCTTCGGTATTCGGCACAAGTGGCACGTCACAGTTCTCTGAAATCACAGACACAACCCAAATGCTTTGAGGGTGGCAGTTTGAGATCTACAGCCTCTCCAAACGTGCTTCGATCACTGGAAGTTCGTAGTGTAGCGGACTCCTCTTTCTCTAGGACTGCTAGATTTCGTAGCATGAAAGTAGAGTCACTTGGCAAAAGACCTGATGTAATTTCTAAAGCAGAAGCTAGGGACATCACAGATGTGGCTAACAAGGCATTCAAAGAACCTGTGAGTTCTGTGAGTAACTTGGGATTTCTGGCTTCGCTGGCCCGAAGCACAAGCAGGGAAGGTTTACAGAGTTCCTGCAGGACAGGCAGGTTTCGGACTTCTGGTATTGCACTACCTACAAACCTGCAGCATTTTCAGGAAGAAAGCTTTAGGAAAACTGCTCCTCCAAATGAAGCTGCTGAATATATTTTAGTGAGTACGAATACTTTCAAAGAAATTGAAGTTTTCCTGTCTTTTTTGGTTACTCACATTATGCAAACTGTACGTGTGTGTGTGTGTGTGTGTGTGTGTGTGTGTGTGTGTGTCTTTTCAGGGAAGGCAGATGGGGGAGGAGGGGCAGGTGTACTTAAATCCCTGATAGTCTTAAACTGTTTTCGGAATTCCTGTTGGTATCTTAACTGCCTCTTTTTCTAAATGGGTTCTAGAAGTCATTTTTACTAAAAATGGAAGTGGTTGTTCAGTTCACAACTAAAACTATTAGTTATTGTAGCAACAGAATTCTGAGTGTGTGTGTTTGAAGTGCCATCTGACTTCTGCTGCTCACCTAGGCACTTACTGCAAAATTTGCCCTGTGACTGGCACCGTACGTGCCTGGCTTGAGATCTCCAGTGAACTTTGTTGTTTTGGGGTGTTGTGAAGTATGGGGAGACTATTAAATAGTCATTTTGAGTACAGAAGTACTCAAGTAGCCTTGGACTCCTCGTAGGTGTGTTGATTGACAAAACATTGATTTCAAATAAGCTGATGCCAGGCTGCCTAATTTTTTTAATTTAATTTTCATCTGCTAGTAATTTCCTTGTGGAAATTTTTTTTGTTTGTTTTTAGTCTGCGCATGGGCTTGGAATGAATGGAAGTATTGCAGCCGTAGGGAAAAG